GAGAAACATATCTATATAAAGGAGATCATAAAACTACATGTGCAGATTGAAATTGAAGAGATATTCTTGGTGGTCAGCTTTTTAAAAAAGAAATCATGCTTCATACAATCTCTGATTCATGCATCTCAAAATGAGGACGAGTTTTCGTTCCTTTGCACCAAAAGATCAAATCTTTTGGCGGTAAAGTAAAATCTGCAAGTTAGACTCTATAATGGTCTTCGCTGGTTTTCGTCTTGGATAAAATATAGTCTTCAGCTTAGACGGAAGACCTCGGACAAAGTAAAGTCTTCAGCTCAGATTGTCATCACCTTTGCAAAATAAAATTTTCAGCTTAGACGGTGTAATGGTCTTCACCTCAGACAAAATAAATTTTTGCCTCAGACGGTGTAATGATCTTCACCTAAGATAAAGTAAAATCTTTAGCTCAGACGGTGTAATGGTCTTTGCCTCAGATAAAAGTAAAATCTTTGGCTTAGACGATATAATGGTCTTTGCAACAGATAAAGAAAGTCAAATTTTCAAATAAAATGAAGTCTTTAGCTCAAACAGTGTAATGATATTTACCTCAGATAAGGTAAAATCTTTGGCTCAGATGGTGTAATGGACTTTGCCTCAGATAAAAGTAAAATTTTTGGCTTAGACGATGTAATGGTCTTTTCTACAGATAAAGAAAATCAAATTTTCAAATAAAATTAATTCTTTAACTTAGTACACCCGCTTAGACGGTGTAATGATCTTTGTCACAAATAAAGAAAATTAAATTTTCAAATAAAGTGAAGTATTCAGCTAAGCCTCGGAGCATTCACCTTGCACGAAATAATGCCTTGATAACCTCAATTAGGGTAATTTCTTAGACAAAATGAGTAAAATCTATTACAAGATTATTTGTGTGCATAAAAAAGAAGAAAAAGAGGAGCAGCTGCATGGAGTAGGAACCTCAACAACAACAACAACAACAAAAAGGAAGAAGAAAAAAGACGAGCATTACCTGAGAAGAGTTGTGTCGAGACTGCCTTTGGTTATAAATCATGACACGAAAAATAGATGTTGCTCAGTATTTGTATTTATAGGCGTGGATTCAATAGAGACCCAACGAGTTGATCTCCTTAAAATAAGGATTTGAGTTCATCAGATTGGACACTGTTGAGAGAATTACAGTCCGACTGAAACTCAAAGACTCTAGAATCTATCTTTACGAGTCCATTCAAATACAATTTCCATGGAATTAGGCATAAATTTGGAAGATAGTGGAATTGGATATCTTCTAGAAATTAAGTTCAAAAATATCTAAAATCATGAGATACTCACGTGGAGCCAAATATGTATTGACTTTAATTGAGGGTTTAAATCTTGAAACAAGACTATTAATCCTTTGATTTTATAATCAATCAAACTATCTGAGAGGAATTGCAAGAAGACAATTAAAAGTCTTTTGTCTTACTTCAAGGCTAATCTTTAAGGATTAACAAGCTTTTTTTATACTCCAACAAGTCTTGAAGTAGGGGCATTTGTGAGCATTTAAATCCATAGAATAATTTGGACCACGTTAAATTCAAGACACTAGTCCAAACAAATATTGTGGCTAGTAAATTGGGTTAATTATTTAAATTTAATATATATGTGTTGGGCTAGTCCATTCAATTGGACTATAAATTAAATGATAAGCTCACTTCATTAGCCCAAGGTCCAAATGGCTATTAGCCCATCTTAAAGCCCAGGCTCAAGCCACGTGTCGAGTGATATGGCGATCCAAGCCAAATAAATGAGTAAATAAAATCATGACACGTGTCAAGTGATATGGCATTAATCTAAGTTAAAAGAACGAGCCAACAAAATTATGCCATGTATCAAGTGATGTGGCAATCCAAGCCAAATAAATGAGCCAATTAAATCATGACATGTGTCAAGAAAGGGTGGTATACCAAGTCAAATCAACAACCAATAGAGTTGTGCCAAGTGTCTAGATGGTATTGGTCAGTTCAAACGGACCAATCAAATCCCAGAGGCACACCACTCCCTACAAATTATAAATAGAGATCTTTATAAAGCTAGAAGACACCTGAAGTGATAACAAGAAGCAAGTAGAGAGCTCGTGGATTAAACATCGCAAATTTTTCTACAAGTTCAAGATCAAGAACGAAGCCAAATCAAATACCAAGGCGTTCAATATCAAATTACTTGTTCGTGATTAAATCCAAATCGAAGCTCAAGAAGGAGATTCAAGACCAAGCTTTACAAGCCCTTGAATCAGAATCAAAATCAAGCTCATCAAAATAGTTTATATTCTTGAAGAATCAGAGGAATACCATAGAGATTGTAACACTTTCATTTATTGAAATTAAATACTGCTCTTGTGACACAATTTTTCAGCCTTGATTATTTATTTTTCTCGACGCGAAAATTTGTTGTTACACTTCATCAAAAAAAAAAATAGAGACATAAAAAGCACATAAATTATTAGAAAATTTGGTGAAAAAATAACGTGACTTCAATAATATTAGTTTTAAATTAAATTAATTGACCCATATATTACTTAATATCTTTTTTCATCTCAAATCTAAAAAATACAGGATGAGCCCGGGAGTAGAGTAGGAAGAAAAAAGAATAGCTGAAAACAAAATCCAAAAAGAAGAAAAGAAAAGAAATAAAAAGGAAAAGAGAAACGAAATAAGCAGTGTTCCCGTTGTTTAAAAAACCAAGAAAAAAGAAATGGAAAGATTTGTTTTTGAAAAAGCGGGCTCCCTGCTGAAGAAAAAGTAAAATAGAGGGTTTACTTCTCCGGCACAGTGTAAGTCAGTGACGAAACTCCGATCAAGCCAACAATAGAGAGACCATTTGCGCTCATTTCCTGATTTTTTACCATAACAAATAATCTAGCCTGACTTGGGGAAGAAGGTTCTGAATTTCTAATTCAAATTTAACAGACATGGCGTCGGCCAATCGAGTCATAGTCATTCCCGGTAAACACTTTCTTCCATTAACGTGTTGATATATAGTTTAATTATTAGGATAATTTAAGTTAATAATTATAATATTCTGTTGTTTTTGTCAGGAGGAGGACGAGGAATTTTGCCATTGCTGACATTGGGAGGAATCGGTATCGCTTTTTTTGATAAATTATTACGGGAAAAGACCTAGAAGAAAAGATCTATTTTTGTGGTCAAGTGCAAGACGATTAATTAACAATTTGGTAAACTTGTTTACTTTAACCTATTACATACACATTTTTTGCTATATCCCCAAACTTATTTGGACTTAGCCATAGTAGTAGTAGTTGTTGTTGAATACACATTTTGCTATTTCTGCTAACTTGTTTGGGATTGAGCCGTAATAGTAGTAGTTGTTGTTGTATACACATGTTGCTATATCTCCTAACTTGTTTGGGACTGAGCAACAGTAGTAGTTGTTGTTGTATACACATTTTGCTATATCTCCTAACTTGTTTGGGGCTGACTCGTAGTAGTAGTTGTTGTTGTTGTATACACATTTCTCTATATCTCCTAACTTGTTTGGGATTGAGCCGCAGTAATAATAATAGTCGTAGTAGTTGTTGTTGTATTTGTATACACATTTTGCTATATCTCCTAACTTGTTTGGGACTGACCTGCAGTAGTAGTAGTTGTTGTTGTTGTATACACATTTTTCTATATCTCTTAACTTGTAGTAGTAGTAGTAGTTGTTGTATACACAATTGCTATATCTCCTAACTTGTTTGGGACTGACCTGCAGTAGTAGTAGTTGTTGTTGGATACACATTTTGCTATATCTCTTAACTTGTTTAGTACTGAGCCATAGTAGTAGTAGTTGTTGTATACACATTTGCTATATCTCCTAACATGTTTGGGACTGAGCGGTAGTAGTAGTTGTTGTGTGCACATTTTGCTATAACTCCTAACTTGTTTGGGACTGAGCTAGTAGTAGAAGTTATTGTTGTATATACATTTTGCTATCTCCTAACTTGTTTGGGACTGAGCTAGTAGTAGAAGTTATTGTTGTATATACATTTTGCTATCTCCTAACTTGTTTGGGACAGAGCCGCAATAATAGTAGTAATTGTTGTTATACATATTTTGCTTGATAAACAATAAGTGATCTCCCTCTGTTTCAAAATATGAGGCAAAGTTTGACTAGCATGTAGTTTAGGAAAAAAAATAAAAACTTTTGAAACTTATGATTTTTAACATGACATAGCTTTTATCTGGCTATAAGACTTTTGAAATTTACAATCTTAAACATGCCATGACATTTGTGTGGCAATAAAAACTTGTTATTAAGGTTAAAATTAGAAGTTTATATTAAATTGTTTCCAAATTTGAAAATGTCAAATAAACTAGAACAGAGGAAGTGGTAAATTTCCCCATAAGCCGAGGAAGGGGCATACAATTTCTCTAGCTCTTCTATAATATGTGGCTTCTATTAAATTCCTTCTTAAACATTTTTGTTGGCACTTTAGGTTCATAATGCAAAGGAGGACTACATCAGTCAGCTACCAGATGCAGTTTTGTCTTCCATTCTTGCAAATTTGACAGTAACAGATGCTGTTAGGACGCGCATTTTATCCAGAAGTTGGAAGCGTCTCTTTTCTGCTATGCCCGCATTAAATTTCAGTTGCCTTGACATGTACGGGGTTTACTGTGATGATCACGAGTGGTAACCTTACTATCAACAAAAGTTCTTGAAAGGAGTAAATGAGTTACTAGAACTTTATTCAGGTCGTAGAGTGCCCCGCATTAACATGGCATGTTGCTTTGCGAGAAAGTTTTATAGTGAATTTAACCACTTGATGCATTCTATTTCACGACTAGATGTTGAAACGTTATACCTTTACTTTGATTGTGGCACTGCTCCCTTCGCTCTTGGCACCAACCCCATCTGCGACCCCAGCAAGTTGTTCAATTTTTCTCTTGAGCTCCTCTCTCAAGCATCCTCGTTGAAACATTTGCTTTTGCACCATTGCATTGTGCAACCAAGTTCTAAAGTCTGTTTTAATTCCCTTGTGATTGAGGGGTGTTTTGTTAGCTAGCGGACAACTGGAGGGCATTTTGTCCTCTTGTTTTAACCTTAAGTTGTTAGCTCTTCGACTTTGTAAACTTCCTTATAAATTACGCATCTCTGGTTCAGTAACCTTTGTTGTTTTTTGGTCTTGTGGCGGAGTGGAAGAGATTGAGCTTCAGGCTGCAAATCTTCGTAAGCTTGAGAGTGAACTTTTTAACAAAGCAAGATTCTTTTTCTCATTTGTTCCCGTGTTGGAAGATGTAATAATTCATCCTCTTAAAGACGATATAGTGTCATATGTATTTGATGATCTTGCGAGAGATTTACCTGCTCAAGTTAAATCTTTAACAATCAAACTTGTTCCGTCTCAGGTATTAATTTGACGTGTCTTGTCTTCTCAAAGTTTTTAATCTTTGTCTTTTTGTAGACCCTAATCATTTAGCTATTCTTTTATATTGTGCATTTCAGGTTAACTACTTCCCAACGGAGATGAAGATGTTCAGAAACCTTAGGCTGTTAAGCTTGATACTTGTGAGCACGCATGACTGTTTTGACATAGTTAAACTATCTCCACTCTTGGGTGCCTGTCCTCTTCTTCAGTATTTGGGTCTGGTGGTGAGTTATTTATGTTCAACATTTTCGTCTTTTTTTCTTATTTGGATATTCTTTGCTTGGTCTTTTATATATATTCTGGGTGAACCCTCAGGTATAGGAGTGTTTGGTTTGTTCTTTTCTTCGAAATGGTATAATGTATTATAAACCGAAAGGCACAAAGATTGTGCAGTATATTGCATCCCAAAAGAACCATTGACTATGTATGCAGTAAATCTATGAACTGTAACAGGGTCTCAGCTTCATCTACAAATTCCGAATTACACCAAAAGGAAGCTATCAGTTTTTATCTTCACAGTAGAGCTGGTTTTTCCTTCAAAAATTTTTCTCTTTCTTTTCTCTCCATACGCACCACCATATGAACTCTTCATTGCTTTAGGCAAACCTTTTCTCTCCAGCTTCACAAAACTTCTGTTGCAGGTGATTTTTGAGTCCTCAGCTGTCTTTTGTTGTCATTTTTTGTAAAAAGTTGCATTGCTGCCCTTTCGAAACCTTCAAATTCTACTCCCATTAGTTTGCAGAGTTTTAAAATGTTTCTGCGAACCCAACAGTTGCTTCGGCCTCTCTAGATAAAGTTGGGGCCTCCCCCTCTTGTTCATACCATTCTATTAAAGGGAATCGATCTTCATCAATTGCCCCAGACCCCACTGATGGGATTATACTGGGATGTTGTTGTTGTTGATCTTCATCAATTGCTTGTGTAATCATCATTTTGACCCAGGTAGTAGTCTCTGACGGCCTGCATGTCGGTTGTTAGTTCTTCTTTGTCATCTGGATTATCATGCTGTAATACATAATTTTGAGAAAATGAAGATGAATTCCTGTGATGGAACTTGGTCGAAGCTTCAGTTTCGACGAGAAAAGGGTCTAGTTCAGTCTTGACCTGCGTCAAAAACGAGTCTTTTGTCTTAAAACATAATTCAGCTGGGTCTGGTCTTACTTGGGGCTTTGTTTCGGGGACAAAAAGTTTTGGCTGGCCCTTTTCCTTTTTAATTGGGAGCCATTACAAACTCTGTGGATATAGGCGAAAAATAGCAGCATACTTTGTAACCAACGGCATTTCAGGTCTTTTTCCTTGCCCTGCCACCTGTCTCCCATCTGTTATCTTAGATATTTTTGAAATTTGAAACAGCCCCTTGAATTCTCGAACAGTACCGCATTTCCTTCATGGTAGTGTATTGCCCATGAATCCGCAGCCCTTGTTCCCCGGTTCTCAATTTTGAAGCCTGCATGTGCCCGTTACATGCTTCTTAATACCCACAGGTCCTTGTAAATCTTCAAAGGTCCCAAACTCGGATTTGTGAACCTATTTTCTGACTTTGTTGCTTGTTGGAATCTTATTCTGGTTTTCTTCAAAACTGCCTACCGGATAATTTTGTAGGTGATCCATTTTCCAATTTGTAGCATCAGGAACTGCCCATAGTTTGTTGGCAGTGACTTTTGGTTCCGACCAGTGTCTTCCTCCGACATTTTAAATATTAAACTTAGATGCGATTCTTTTAGTACTATTTACTAAAAAAATAAGGTGCTCTTGATGATATATTTGACAAGGACTGTTTTGTAGATTGATAAACTTAGTGTTTGAAATGGCTTGTCTACTATATTTTGCTACATCCACATAAATTAATGAAGAGACATAATATGATTAGTATATCATCGTTTCACTCTCATAAAGTCATGTTTACACCAATAAACAAGTATTAACCAATGGTAAGCTAGGGATAATGTACTCTGAGTCTATTCCTTACCGTTCATGTTTTTGCTTTAGAAATTACTCTTAGTTCAGTTAAATGCTTGCATTGCAGCTTGCTAAACTACGTAAGTCGTCTTGATCATTTAGCAATATGTTGATCTCATTCTCATTGTGACCTCAGGTGACAACACCAAGGACAAAGAGGAATGGAAAAGGAAGTAGAGGGCCTCCGTTATCTCCTACATGTCACACTGAACTAAAAGAAGTGATATTTTGTGGATTTGATGGAACAGGATCAGAGATTGAATTTGTTCTTTATATTCTGAGAAGTGCAATAACTCTTGAGCAAATGTGTCTCTCCCGAGGGTACAGCTGTTATTTGGGTTGTGATAAGTGGGAGAACAATTTGGATGTTCCATTCAGTGGAAGACAACGTAACTCAATCCAAAAGAAACTAAATGGTCAAGCTATCTCTAGTAAAGCAGAAGTGATCATCCAATAGGTTCTTGTACAAATACTATATTAGATCTTTATAGTCATCAATGATAGGTAAATTTGAGTTTTCTTCTTTTGGATAATATAGTTTCTCTTTTGGTGTTTTAGCATATAGTACTGGTCAATTGCTTTCTCTCCAGTTTGGTGCATTGTTTCCTTCGTCGTTTGGCATGTCAAGCGCCCGTTGTAGTGTCGTGAAAGTTCTCTGTTTTTTTTTTTAATTCTGACATAGAAGATGTTTCTTTAGAGTTGTTTTTTGTCAGCATTAACTGGGAGTTGGAAGAATTGCTATCTTGGTTGCAAATTTGCAATCCACTAGTTTACTGAGTGACATTAAGACTTTGACTATATTATTATTGTCCCTTTTAGGGAGAGAGTGTTAATTAGTACTGCTACTTTCAGTGTCAAGCCTAGCTTCATTGTGTTCCATATCTGGAGTTAATTTCTCAATTATCATCCAACTTATAATTTTTATTTACCAAGTCATTGAATTTATTTTGTACTTTAAGATCATTGATGTGTTGTATTGGCTATTTGTATGTTTCTCTCTCTTAAGTCTTTGCATTTTTGCAGAAATGCATAGTAAGGCTACGTAAATAGATCCTTGTGGTCCGACCCTTTCTCGAATACAATGCATAGTGGAAGCTTAGTACCTGGGTTGTCCTTTATTTCTCTCTTTAGTCTACCATCCTCCTCCCCCTTTTTCAATGAATGACATTATTTTCCTGTATTTTAAACTATTACAAGCTAAGCAATTTCAATTACATTAAAAGGTCCAAGGTTAAAACGTCCAAACACCAACTGATTATCAGTAATTCATTAAGAGAATTAAATTTCACCCAAACAAACATGAGTAAGAATGATCAATGAACATTTTAATGGTACAAGCTTTATTGGCAGCTAGAAATTTAAGAGGTCCTAAATTACACAATCCAAAAAATAAGAAGAGTTCCTAATCAAATCATAGCAATCACATTCCACTATATGTACATGCAAATGACTAACAAAGAGAAAATATTCAAGGTACATATTGGTCAGTGAGCTTCTATTCAAACAGAGAACTTCCATATCACTAATATATCCACAACAATCTATATAGTAACCAGCAAAGTCACTAACAAAAAAAGTTACCAAGTGCCAGAACTGCCCAACACTTTACAGCATTACAGTAGTGTACAATCCCTTCAGTATTCACATGTTCTAAGGTATATCCTTCTTCTGTTATGTTGCCTTGGAATTAGGAAGATTACGCGATCATCTCCCTGCAAAGACATCTGAGTATAACGTGAAACTTAACAAGTGTTAAAAACTTCTATGCATTTTTCATGCACTTAAAAATTAATAAGTTAAGACATTACAGCATAATAAGAGGAGATCACAGAAGAGGCAACGAAAAAACAGTGACAGGATCGCCAACTCCTTGTTTGCTTAAGTTATCAAGGATGCAATTCTTATCTTCAAACATCTTAAAAGATGATCTTGAAGTCCCAAAGTTTCACAGCGAATTTTGACATGTTAAAATTTCCAAAGTTCGACGAAGTACATCAAACAAAGGGAAAGACTTACCTACTCAAGTTGTGAATTCAGCCTTGAGGCGGGGACTCTGGCTCAGAACCGCCAATGGAAGAAAATGACATGGTATCTTCCTTTGCTATGGCCACAAAGTTGAGGGGGGCAGTAGATAGTCTTCGCATTTCCTTGAAATAGGTATTCTGCCGCCCAGAGTAGGAACGGGGTGTTGAAAGCTCTGGAGTTGCACAACCAACTGAGTTCCGGCGTGGTGAGGGGGTGACTGACCCATTTCCATTTGCATGGTATCCATTCGTTTTCCTAAAGCTGCTGCTTCTTCTCGGACTAGGTCTAGAACCATATATAGATTCCTTCTCTGCCAGCAGCATATCTTGGAGTTTCTTTTGATCCTGTGTAAAAGAAAAGATAATAGATTTCAATGAGTTTTTGATATTATGCATTCCCTTACATACATATGTTTCATATACCAAATCAGAATTTATTAGTATATGAGGGTATTAGAAAGTACCCGGGCCCGTTTCTTCTCCTCTTCTTTCTGATGTCGACTAACTTTGTAATCCTCCAATATTGACACCAATCTCACCTACAAGTAAAGCCAAGTGCACTTGATCGACGGTAACAACAAAAAAATAATCTAGCAATATGTAGCTGCAAAAGAACTCACCCCATCGTACAGAAACAACTTCTGTTTCTCATCTTCCCAAGCTAGTGTCTTGATAATCAAACTGTCAACCATACCTGAGTATAAAAAGACATTGAGTTCCATTTATACTAAGCCTGTGTAATCGGGCCGGTCTGACCCGTTTCCAGCCCGCTTCAACCCGCTTCAGCCCGCTACTGTTCGCTATTGGGCGGGTTGTGGACGTTCATGTTCTGGTTAACGGTGCACCGAACCCGCTAAGCCCGTGACCCGTTAACGGGCTGCAGCCCGTTATGAGCCCGTTTACCGTTGCTGAATTATTATTTTTTAAAAATTATTTGGACCGTTGCCAACGGTCAAATTGAGAAATGACTGTTGGGGAACGGCCAGATTTTGCAGAAATGGCCATTTCGGCCTCCCCCATTAAAAATATAGCCCTCCCACCCCTAA